ACTTCTGAAATGCCCTCAACAGCCAGGGCTGAGCCAAGTAAAAGCCAGGAGCCAAGAACTCCATCTGGATCTCCCATATGGGTGGCAGGGACCCAACTACTTGAGACATCACCAGTTGCCTCCCAGGGTGCACTTCAGCAGGAAGCTGGAATCATGAGTGGAGCTGGAACTCAACTCAAGTACTCTGAAATGGGGTGTGGTGTCCCTTTACCAAGCATCTGCCCCTCTATGTGTTTGAAGCAGTTTTTAAAAGTAGTGTCTCCTGTTAACATTCAACAGTTATGACTGAGAGACTATCTTCAAGAACAGTGACAAATTTTGCCAGACTTCTTTGACACATTTTTAAAAATTGAAATCAATTAGATGTCCTCTATGAACATCCAGAACTGACATTAATTGAAGTAGTTTTAGGGTAAAGCAATTTCTTTATAAAAATAATCATCTTTCCCAAAATAAGTCATTGTGAGGGTTCCCTCACAATTGCCTAAATAAGGCATTCTTCCCCTATTTTGAGAAAAACCACTGGAGCTTTGAGAGGGTATACACTACCCATTCTGTTTTTGCAGGTGATAGTGTGGGCTGGATGATAATCAAGAAATAGTCTTTATGTTTATCAGTGCTGATCTGCTCTGGGCATAGTCACCTTATTTAAATACCAAACATTTTAACAATGCATCGTATACTCAATGCTGTACTCCCACAGGAAATTTGAAGAAAACCATGATCATATAAAGTTTGTAATACATCTGTATTGACAAAAATAGTGGATTTTTTTCATGAGACAAGGTTCCCATTAGAAATCTCAGATTTAGAGCAAACAGCTGAATGGAGTGAAATTGCAGCTCCACACAACTATAAATGCCAGGAAACAAATGAGAGCAAAGAGGTGAATTTTTACAGGCATCATAGGGATGAGTCACAACATTTTTTTTCAACTTTTGTTTTCACCTGTTTTACAAGGTTCAGTTCTAATAGCATAAGGGTGTTTTTTCTCAGGCAAAGGCCTCTAATTGGTTGTAAATGAATCAATACTCATCAGTTTTACAGGAAAAGGCACCTTAATCAGATTGGTTATCAATGGATTAGGTGTCTATCTTGTTGGATCTCTATGTCTCCTTAGCTTGGAAGGGGACAAAACACTTTGAGCCAAAGTGTGTGGTCTAGTCTGAAGCACAGCAATGCCTTATTGATTTAGAAGAGATAGGTTTGCCAGACATCCAAAGCACTATTAAAAAATAACTGACTTTAATTAAAACCTTCTAAAATATACACACACTTCCTTATTATACAGAGTTCCTTGACAGTAAATGAATCTTTTTGCTGGGTCAAGGACATCATTTCATGGCATCAGTTACTACAATGCCCTCCCCCCCTCACTGACTGATTTGGGTGATCTCTTCATGAAGTTCCACCAGCTGTCTCTTCCCAATGAAAGAGTTCCTAGCAAAATTCCCCACCTTTTCATTATCTGTTACCTGCTTGTAGTCATGGTGAAGTTGCCAATGCCAAGGATTCAATAACCAAGCTTGGAAAGCAGTCATGGTACAGATTTTTAAATCCCCATTAAATCAACTAATAGCAGAATGACTCTGAAGCTAGTCTCTTTACCTCTTTAAGCCTCATATTCTTCTTCTAAAAACATTAGGGATGATAATATCTACTCTTCAGGGTATAGTGATGCTTAAATGATATAAAAATAAATTCTGAGGTCAGTACCTGGCATATGGTATTAGTTCTATTTCCATGCAAATGTCCCAGACCTCCCTATAATCAACAATGGTGAGTAAATAAGCAGCATTGCCTCTCTTTTTGCAGAGGAAAAACTTTTTGAGTCACAATTTTTCAGTACCCTTGGAACAGCAAGCTCTCTGTGAGGCTTTGGGAGGTTCTTGTCCTCATGGAGCATAACAAGAGATTCCCCAAGACATTATTTAGTTTCAGTTGCTTTGAATGATATCAAGGAGGAGTATATGGAGTTGTGACTACATGTGAGGTGAACACCTGTCTTGCTATGGTAGGATGGGGAAAATCTCCACAAGGATGCCACATCCAAGGTGGGACTGGGAGGTTGACCAGGAGTGAGCTGCCTGGAGGGGCAGATGAGTATGCCAGCCTGATGGATAGCTGTATTGAAAGTCTTGTAGTAGGAGGTATGATATGATTAAGGGCTTAGAACTTCAGATTGGGGAGTGGACATAAGGTAAAGGATTGGAGCCAGGATGTAGCAAGCGAAGTGCATGTTCCTGGCCTTGGACATCATGGCAAGGCTTTAGGCCACATTCTGAAAGAGATAGGGACTATTAATGAGATTTAAGCAAAGATGATAATGCATGCGTTTGCAACCATTGCTACACTCTTGAAATGTTTCTATACTGCTAGGTAAATACCTAAACCCTGAGCCTCTTACTACTCAAACCTTTCTGGAACCTCCCTTGGCCCAGCTCAGCCAGACCTCCAGATCCTCTTCAGGATCTGTTCTGGTTGGGCTATGGCTAACACCACCTAGTTTGCTAGATTTGTTAAATAGAATATCTGCTTTTAAGCAAAATCTTCCTGCCCCCAGTGTTTCTCCATTACTTATGAATTCACAATTATCTTTAAGATTGTTAAAGAAGCCAGAAAGAATTACAATTAATGCAGTTAAAATATTTGAATGATCTTAGGGCCATCTCTACATTGTTTCCTTTCCCACATTACGAATTGAAGTCAATGTGAGTTCAATTGTTCCTGCTTCTGAACTGCTCCTTAAACTTATTTTTCTATTCCACTTTGCTCTCATTCACTTCATTTCAGTTCTCTTGATTTACTCTAATATCCCAGTAGCTTCCTGTCTGGTTTCAACGTAATCATTCTCTCCTTGGCCAATCATTCTGTACACGGCTGTCCATCTCCACAACAATATCGAACACAGAGCTGGTGCTCAATAAGTGTTTTTGAATGAAGGAGTGAATGAATGGATGTACACACTAACATCAGGGACAAGTGGCACATAAACAAGTAGACAAAATACAGCTAAGTAATTTTGGGGCTTCCCAATGTGTGATTTTGGATGGAGCATGAACAAACATCTCTCATTTTACTAATTATGCATGATTTGAGTATTATCTATTTTTCTTCTACATATAAAATATGTCAGGGCTTCAACGAGTTTGTGCAAAATGCATTTAAAAGATAAATTTATTTTAATGGAAAAAGTTTAAAGCTCATGCATAGCTTTTTCATAATGTGAATTTTCCATGAGGCTTTTAAAGATCCCTCTATAGAGTTGGAGATGGGATGGCTGCGGGTGGGAGGGAGGTTATTGGAGAAAAAAGCTGCTATAATCCAAAAGTTGTACTTTGGAAATTTATATTTATTAAATAAAAGTTAAAAAAATTGAAAAAAATCCCTCTATACATTAAACTCTTATTTTGTTCCTTAGAACAAGACAAAGTAAGACCAGCGCCATGGCTCAATAGGCTAATCCTCCGCCTGCGGCGCCAGCACTCTGGGTTCTAGTTCCGGTCGGGGCGCCGGATTCTGTCCTGGTTGCTCCTCTTCTAGCCCAGCTATCTGCTGTGGCCCGGGAAGGCAGTGGAGGATGGCCCAAGTCCTTGGGCCCTGCACCCACATGGGAGACCAGGAGAAGCACCCGGCTCCGGGCTTCAGATCAGCGCAGCGTGCCGGCCGCAGCAGCCATTGGGAGGTGAACCAACGGAAAAGGAAGACCTTTCTCTCTGTCTCTCTCTCTCACTGTCCACTCTGCCTGACAAAAAAAAAAAAAAAAAAAAAAAAAAAAAAGAACAAGACAAAAAAAAAGTGAGTCAGATGAAAATTATTAAAAATATATTAAATGAATAATAATAGGATGACATCGTTTAGATTTAGTAAACATGGTGTGAATGATAAAAATAACTTAAGTTTGAAAAAAACTGGTCAGCAGTCAGCACAGTGTCACATAACCAAACTTACTGATTTCAGTGCCCCCTCCCTGAGGGAACACTGGCTTCCTAGTGTTTTCAGAGTCAAGTAAGACTTTGAATACATTGTCCACAGACCCTGGTGGGCACAGACTTAACTTGGTCCTGTTTAAAAAAAAAAAAAAAAACAGGTAGGAAATTGAGAGTTTAGAAAATATATGCTTCATAAGACTTTCAGGGTGCAGTAAACAGTCTCAGGTTATTTCAAGAGCCTTGAAAAAAATCTTTTCATAGAAATGTAAAATAGATTGCGTTGTATCCCAAAAAGCTGAAGACAGTGAAGTCATGGAAGGAGGATGGATTTTGTGGTTAGATGCTAGTGAATTTGAACACTGCCCTGTCTGTCACTAATTGGCTATCTGACCTTGGGCAAACACTTACGCATCTCTGAGTTTTTTATTAGTAAAACAGATAAAGAAATTATGCCCTCAGAAAGAATTTAAGAATTAATATAGATAAACAGGCTAGCACAATTTTTGACACATAGTTGGCTTTTAATAAATGCCTCCTCTCTCTTTAATCCCCTTACATGTAATCTGCTTAAAATAAAAGTGAAATAAAAACAGATGATGATTTCACCATGTTTTCACTCTGAAAAAAATAAAAACAATTAGGAGAAATCTGCTGAAAAAAAAATTTTGATTTCAATGGCATTGAGCTATTGCTCCAAGTCTTTAAAAATCTGTGAAATGAATGAAATGCAAGTGTCACTTATTGATGGCCTTCTCCCAATCAGCAGTGAACTCCTCCAAAGTCAAGTGGAGGCAATTGTAAAAGAATTTATATGCATAAAATTACTTCTCTCATGCAATAAGGATAAATAGTTAGTTCATAATCAATCCGTCTGCAAATCCTTTAGTTTCACTGATTCATAGGTTATAGCAAAAAATAAGTTGAGGATGAATAACTGAAAGCCCATGGAGACACTCTGAGAATCTCACGATTTTTATTTTTTACCTTTTCAATTTTTTATAGACATTTCATTTTCCTTTATATTCTTTTATTGCTTTAATTTTTATTTCAGCTTTTTTTTTGTTTGTTTGTTGTTTTAGTTTGTAATAGGTGCAGTATCGGTAGATCTCACAACTTCATGATGGGGCCTGGGTGAGGTTGAGAGAAGGCAATGAGAGTTTTAAGAGGCCTATTGCGACATCAGCATTCGCTCCCTGGTACTTCTTGATTTCTGGAAAAAAGGCATATGATCATATGATCTCAGGGACAGAGGTACTCCTTACCTCCTTGCTGTTCCTCCACTGGATTCCTGCAGGCTCAGGATGGTCCAGCACTTATAACCACTGACACTTGAGACGGGTAGTAGAATTTAAAGAAGCTCCCCCACCTTGAGTGCCAACTATGAAAACTCCTTAGAGGATGTTGGTGCTAATGGTCTTATCTAAATAAGATCCACGGGCTTGTCTTGAAGAGAGAATGTAGAAGTAAAAAGTTACCTTCCTCTATTTGCCTTGACGTTCTTAAGTGTCCATGTAACACTCAATTTGTCCTCAACAGGATCTATTTGCTGGCAAGTCTTCCATGTGCTTCTTTCCTCTTGGTGGTGCCTTTAGCAAGTCATAGGAGGAATATTGATCGAGAATAACCTAATGAAATATGAGTGCCAGTGAATATGCTAGGGAAGGAACAGATACAGTCTGTGAGAATTATATTGGGAAAAAATTGGACCCATTAGGTACCTCGTTGAGTATTCAGGAGAGACAATTCTTGCTTTATAAAATATGCTTTGGTTTGCCTTACAGAAAATTTATCGTTCATTCATTTGATGTACTCCTTTAAGAGGTCAACTCTGACTTTCAGTGCTCTCAGAATTTATTCTTTACTCCATTGTTCCATGCAAACCATCCTTATTGAATTTCTTTATGCATTTGAGTTGTCAAATAGCCAGTGTGCTCTCTAAACTGCTCCATACAATTAACAGCTATTTTGGGATGGGGCAGGATAAAAATCAGGCACATTGATGCTAGTATATATCAGCATAGAGAAGGCAAATTAATCAGCCTCTTGTGTTTTTTAGGAATAAAACATGCCGAAGCCAATTCTCCCATACCAATATAAGTCAATTAACTGGGAAATTGTTGAATTACTAGGACTTCGGTATTGTGCAGATGTCTCATGTCCATGAAAACACCTTGGTTCTGCTTCTTTTGTGACAGGACTGAGAACTTTTTGTAGGAGTGCATTCAATAAATGGAATGGAATATTTTATATAATTGGTGTAGTTAGTTGATATATAAATTTGAATCCTAATAACCTAATTTCAGCCATATGGTTTACCCGAAGAAGCCTAAACATTCTTAAAGAATCAGAGCATTCCATAACACTCAAAATTGACCTTGAGACAAAATTGTAACTTAAAAATTTTTTTCATTTATTTTTTTTTCTTTTTTTTTCATTTATTTTTATTTCAAAGACAGAGATACAGAGAGAAAGACAGAGATAAATAGAGGGAGGGCAGAGAGAGAGAGAGAGAGAGAGAGAGAGATTGAGAGAAATCTTCCATCCACTCTTTGACTCTCCAAATACCCTCAACAACCAGGGGTGGGTCAAGTCAAAGCCAGAAACCTGGAACTCAGTCTAGGTCTCCCACAGGAACACAAGTACTTGAGCCATCATTTGCTGTCTCCCAGGGTACACATTAGCAAGAAGCTGGGTTAGAAGTAGAGGGACTAGGACTCGAACCCCGGTATTCTGATATTGGATGAAGATGTTCCAAGCAGTGGCTCAACCTGCTGCCTCAAACTCCAAACCCCAGAATGGCCCCTTCCCAAAAAATAGGGGTAGAAATTGACATTAAGGTTCAGAATGGGTTTTTCGGTTGACTGTGTGTTATGACATATGACATCTTATTCTCCAATTGAGGAAACTGATTCAAGTAAATTGAGAGTTACCCAGACTAAGGGTTCAGTTTTTATGGTGCAGATAAACGATTCCACATTTTAGATTAATAATAGAGGCTTTGTGCAATCTTGACCTGGCTACGTTAGCAGTTTCCTTATATTCTATCTCTCATCTTTACCCTAAGTCTTGGCTGTGCTGAAGTATTTCCAGTTCCCCAAAGTTACCAATTCATTTTTCCCATGAAATTGTATGAAAGCCAATTGCATGAAATAGTTTACTTATCTTCTTCAGTTTTCCCAAACCAAATACCTACATCAAAGAATTCTTTTTTAAAGATTAATCTTTTTCATTGTGGTAGGAATATTTAACATAGATCTACTCTCCTAAACTTTTGATTGTACAATACAGTATTGTTGATTGTAGGTATATTATTTTATAGTAAGTCTCTCTCTAGAACTTATTCATCTTGCTTATTTACATAAAATAATTTGACCATCTTCCAATCTCTCATTGTTTCCTTGTAACACCATTGAAACTAACTTTTGATTTCTCAGAATGGTTCCAGTGCTGTGCTACATATTAACTGTATATCTGTCTCTGTTTAAAAACTTACAGAATCTTGAGGCCAGAGATCATTTTATAAAAATCATTCTTAGGGCCAGTTGTGGTACAGCAGGTAAAGCTGCCACCTGTGATGCTGGCATTCTATATGGTGCTTGTTCGAGTCCCAGCTGCTCCACTTCTGATTCAGCTCCCTGCTAATGGCCTGGAAAAGCAGCAGAGGATGGTCCAACTGCATGGGCCCCTGCGACTCACATGAGATCTGGATGAATCTCCTGGCTCCCGGTTTTGCTCTGGTCCAGTGCTGGCTTTGTTGCCATCTGGGGGAGTGAACCAGTGGGTGGAGGAGCCCTCTCTGTCTCTCCCTCTGTCTGCAACATTGACTTTCATATGTGTAAATAAATCTTAAATGTGTAAATGAATCTTAAATAAATCTGGGTGTTACCTGAAACAATGAATCTATGAATGAATGTAAATAAAATCCAGGAAGAGGATTTGAGGCCTTATAACCTGAAGTGCAGATGACAAACACATGACCCAAATGCTACACTCTCCCTTCCCATATGTAGAACACATTTTCCTATTAGAGTCAGCACTGTTCGTAGATGTAGACAGCCTTAGCTTTTTTCCTAGAATAGTCACAAAATGTAGTGTAGTCATTTAGAACAATGACACCCTAACTTTAAAAATTATAATATGGGTAACTCTATCAGTAAAAATAACTAGGACACATCTCTCATGCATAGTTTTTGTATATCCCTGCAAGCTTAATGCAGAGATGGATGCATTGGACTACACCAATGAGCTCTTTGGTCCGCTGATTTCCATTTGGGATTCGCAACTTGAAGGATAGGAAAGAGTGAGGCCAGAGTATTTATTTCCATGGTTTAGCTGGTTTTCTGACACCAGCACATTTGACCCTTTCCATAATTGTCTCTCTCCCTCCCTCCCTTCCTCCCTCCCTCCCTCTCTCTTTCTGTCTCTGCTTATGTCTGCTATCTACTCCCTCCGTATTGTATGCAGCCTCTCTTGTTGCTTTTGCTAAATTTTGGTGCTCTACAATTTTGTGAGCTATCCATCTATTAAATTATCCTTGATTTATTCAGCTTAGGATCCCTTCTGTTTCTTGACTTCTATCCCTCTAATACATATATGATTTTTAATGCATTTAGTGTGCTAGTTACCATCCATATGTTAGGTACTAGTAAAATTCTGGGGCCAAATAATGCTTGAATTGCAGTGTTTCATTTCAAAGATATTTGTTTTTAAATAATAAATGAAGTCATCACAAACCTTTGGTTTCGAGATTTTTAATTTTTCATTCTTTACTGAAGAATGCTTCTAACTCTGACTCCCCTACTCCTACCCAAATCAAAGTCCATATTCTAGCAATGCTTGTGGACACAATCTACAAGCAATCTGATTCTGACTTATGATCATTACATTTTGAAAGGAAGTTTTATCTACCCACTGGAAACAGCTGAATCCTGGTTTTATGATTAATGTTTGTTTTTGCAGTTGTGCACACTTTTAGGCAAATGCTTACGTCTCCTGTGTATTGCTAAACTAACCATAGACTATCTTATGCTAAAAAAAATCTCTTTCAGGGCACTCGTAAGCACCACAAATATTATTTCTTTAACTCTCTAATATTATATATACTACTGGTCTCATTAATAATGACTCATTAACTTTTGGTTCAGAACTAAACATTTTATGAATTTTAATTCTATAAGCTCTTGATTTCCAGAGCATTAGTGAAATTTTTATGATATGATGAAGACTATGTTTTTTTCCTAATATAATTAAACACTTAAAGTGTAAAGTAAGAATAAATGGTGGGACCGGCGCTGTGGCACAGTGGGTTAAAGCCTTGGCCTGAAGCGCCAGCATCCCATATGGGCGCTGGTTCTAGTCTCGGCTGCTCCTCTTCCCATCCAGCTCTATGCTATGGCCTGGGAAAGCAGTGGAAAATGGCCCAGGTTCTTGGGCCCCTGCACCCATGTGGGAGACCAGGAAGAGGCTTCTGGCTCCTGCTTTTGGATTGGTGCAGCTCCGGCCGTTGCAGCCATCTGGGGAGTGAATCAGCAGATGGAAGACCTCTCTCTCTCTTCTCTGCCTCTCCTTCTTTCTCTGTGTAACTCTGACTTTCAAATAAATAAATAAATAAATATTTATAAGAAAAGAAACAGAGTTGAGTAGAGAATTCAAAAATAGAACCTACACATTTATATCATCATCTGATGCTTAACAAATTCACCAAAGAAATCCATGGGGCGATAGAAATTTTTTTACTAACTAGTTCTAGCACAAGTTGGTGTCTGACTTCATACTTACAAAAATACAAACTGGAGGTTTATCCTGAACATAAATGTAAAACCTAAATCAGCCTTTAGGATAAAACATAGGAGAATATAGGCAGCCACATAAAATGAAAGAAAACTGGTACTACTGCATCAAAATTTCTGCTTACCCAAAAACACTGTTAAGAAGTAAATAGGTTGGGCTGGCGCCGTGGCTCAGATGGTTAATCCTCGCCTGCGGTGCCAGCACCCCATATGGGTACTGGGTTCTAGTCCCGGCTGCTCCTCTTCCAGTCCAGCTCTCTGCTGTGGCCCGGGAGAGCAGTGGAGGATGGCCCAAGTCCTTGGGCCCTGCACCCGCATGGGAGACCAGGAGGAAGCACCTGGCTCCTGACTTCGGATCGGTGCAGCATGGTCCGTAGCAGCCATTTGGGGAGTGAACCAAGGGAAGGAAGACCTTTCTCTCTGTCTCTCTGTCTCTCTCTCTGTCTCTCTCTCACTGTCTATAACTCTACCCATCAAAAAAAAAAAAAAAAAAAGAAATAAATAGGCACGCTACAGACAGGAAACATTTTGTAAGGCTAGTATTGGGATATATAAAGACTTCTCAATAATAAGATATGCAGTTGAATAAAAAGCAGGCAAAAGGCTTTTTTTTTTTTTTTATAGGCAGAGTGGACAGTGAGACAGAGAGACAAAGAGAAAGGTCTTCCTTTGCCGTTGGTTCACCCTCCAATGGCCGCCGCGGCTGGTGCACCGTGCTGATCCGAAGCCAGGAGCCAGGTGCTTCTCCTGGTCTCCCATCGGATGCAGGGCCCAAGCACTTGGGCCATCCTCCACTGCACTCCTGGGCCACAGCAGAGAGCTGGCCTGGAAGAGGGGCAACCAGGACAGAATCCGGCGCCCCAACCGGGACTAGAACTTGGTGTGCCGGCGCCGCAAGGCGGAGGATTAGCCTAGTGAGCCGCGGCACCGGCCCGGCAAAAGGCTTTAATGGATAATTCATAAAACAAGGTACACAATTAGTTGATAAGCATATGAAAATGTTCTGAACATCACCACATCAGAGAAATGCAAATAGAAATCACAATACATTTTATCAAATGCACACAAGAATGGCTAAAATTAAACAGACAACACTAAATGTTGATGAGAATGAGGAGCAACTGTAACATATATTGCTAGTGGGACTGTAAATGGTACAACCATTGAAGATTTTCTGGTAGTTCTGAAAAAATAAATATGCACTTATTTTTTGACCTAGCAATCTCACTCCTAGGCATACATTCAGGATAAATAAAAGCACATATCTACATAAAGACTTTTATGACTATTCATAGCAGTATCATTCACAATATTGCAAAACTGGAAACAATCCAGGGGTCCATCAAAAGGAGAATGAACAAACATGGTATAATATATTCATGGATTATTAGTCAGCAATAAAAAGCAATAAAAACTGTTCATACAAATAAAAGCATGAATAAATATCAGAATTATTATGTTGAAAGAAAGAAACATTCCCAAGTGTACATGTGACTCCATTTGTACGAAGTTTTAGAACACGTAAAGCTAACCTGTGGTGAAAAACAAAAAAGATACTTCTGGAGGTATAAAATCAGGGATTAATGGAACAGGGAAACAGACAACTTTACATGATGACATTAATATTTTCTGTTTTGGTGAGAATTTGGATACTAAGGTGTATCATTTATCAAAACTTATCAATGGTATATTTAAAATCTGTGTATTAATTGTATTTTAAATCCAAACCAAAATGAAACAAAGTAATAAATTGCATGTAAACCTTCATCTCTAATTTTATTTTATTTTTTAAAAATTGCCTATTTATTTCAAAAGCAGACTGATAGAGTGAGACATAGGGACAAAAAAAAAAAATCTTTCATCTGCAGGTTCAATTCCCAAATGGCTGCAACAGCCAGAGCAGGATCAGAACAAAGCTAGGGCATAAGAATTCTACCTGGGTCTTCCATGTGAGTGTTAGGAACCAAAGTACTTGGGTCATGATCGGCTGCCTGCCAGGTGCATTTCATTGGCAGGAAGCTGGATCAGAAGCAGAGGTGGGTTAGACACTCCAGTATGGGATGTGGGCATTCCAAATGGCAGCTTAACCTACTGCAGTACAATATCCTCTTCCACCTCTGGTTTTAATATAGTCACATATTAATTATTGATAGGACAAAGTGTACTGATATCTACATGTTATTTTGAAGTGAATAAAAAGATAAGATCAATCGATGGATGGTGTCTTTGCTTTATGTTGCTGTATCAGAATTCTTGGGGCTAGGTGATTTATAAAAACATGAATTTTATTTCAGCTCACAGTTCTGGAAGCCCAAGAACATAGTGCTGGCTTCTGCTCAGCTTCTAATGAGGGTTATGTACTGATCAGTACATGATGGGAGCATGGAAAGCAAGTGAGTACCTGGAAAAGAGGTCGCACGATGTGAGAATAAACAAGAATGAGCTGAGGAAGCCAAACTCATTTTGCAGCACTCTGCTCCCACCGGTAACCAATACATTCTCTTGGGAACTACACTAATCTCTTCACGAGAGTGAGTCTCTGTGAAGTAATCAACTCTTTTTAAAATTAACACATAATTGTACATAGTTATGGGGCATGGGTGGATAATTCAATGTATGTATAAAACATACAATGATCAGATCAGTGTTATTAGCATTTCCATCTCCTTAAACATTTCTTCATGCTGGCAGCTTAAACTTTGCTCATATATAGTTCTTCACAAAGTATATAATACATTATTATCAAGTAGTTACCTTCCTTTGGTGTTGTACACTCGAATTCCTCTGTGTAGCTGTATTCAAGTATCCATTATCCAGCCTTCTTCTGGTCCTTTATGTCTCTACACTTCCTAGCCTCTAGTGATCACTACTGTAATTTCTTCTATGAGATCAACTTTTTATCTACATATGAATGAGAATGTCATATTGTTCTTTATATGCCTGACTTATTGTGGAATGAGAAGGCCGTAACAAGATGGTGCTAGCAAGCAAGCAAGATGTCCGGTCAGTTACTCAGGAAATGGTGGCAGAACACACCTGGCAAAGGAGCCTGCCTAGCAACAGGCAGTGATTGGTTATGGCATAAACTGCCCCTTGACTGTCTGCCTCGGCTATATAAGCTGCTGTACCAACTGAAATAAACGAGTGCTCGCTGCTCACCTTAGCCTGCTTTTTCCTGACTACTGGTGTCTGTGTCATTACTCCACGATCTTGCCCCCACCGCGCTTCTCCTCTCAGAACAAATCCACAGCAACAACTTATTTCATAATATGATGTCTTCCAGTTCCAAAAAATGTTGCCATAAATGACAGGATTTTGTTCCTACACAGGGCTAAGCAATGTTATATTATGTTTGCATATTATATTTTTTATTTAGTCATCCATTGATGGACACCTTGGTTGATTGTATATCTTCTTTTTTTTTTTTTTTTTTTTGACAGGCAGAGTGGACAGTGAGAGAGAGAGAGAGACAGAGAGAAAGGTCTTCCTTTTTGCCGTTGGTTCACCTTCCAATGGCTGCCGCAGCTGGCGCACTATATGAAGCCAGGAGCCAGGTGCTTCCCCCTGGTCTCCCATGCAGGTGCAGGGCCCAAGCACTTGGGCCTTCCTCCACTGCACGCCCAGGCCATAGCAGAGAGCTGGCCTGGAAGAGGGGCAACCAGGACAGAATCCGGTGCCCCGACCAGGACTAGAACCTGGTGTGCCGGCGCCGCAAGGCGGAGGATTAGCCTAGTGAGCCACGGTGCTGGCCGTATATCTTCTTTATTGTGAACTTTATTTCAACAAACATGGGATGCAGCATCTGTTTGATATGGTGATTTAATTTCCTTTATACCCCCAACATACATAAACCCAGTAGTAGGATTGCTGGGTCTTATTAAGGCTCTGCATTTAGATTTTCATCTTTATTGATTTGAGAGGAAGGCACAAACTCATACATGCACACACACACAAGGATGGGGTGCGGAGAGAGAAAGATTCCTGTCAGTTGGCTTACTTCCCAAATGTCTGCTGTGACCAGAAGCGGGCCAGGCTGAAGTTGGGAGTTTGGAAACCAAGACATGTCTCCCACACAAAGACGTTTTAAAAACTTGAGCTGGGGCCGACACTGTGGCATAGCAGATAAAACAGTAGCGTGCAGTGCCGGCATCCCATGTGGGCGCCAGTTCAAGACCTGGCTGCTCCACTTCCAATCCAGCTCTCTGCTATGGCCTGGAAAAACAGCAGAAGATGGCTCAAGTCCTTGGGCCCCTGCACCCACGTGCGAGACCCAGAAGAAGCTCCTGGCTCCTGGCTTCAGATTGGCGCAGCTCTGGCCATTGTGGCCATTTGGGTAGTGAACCAATGGATGAAGACCTCTCTCTCTCTCTCTCTCTGTGTGTGTGTTTCCTTCTCTCTGTGTAACTCTGACTTTCAAATAAATAAATAAATAAATAAAGCTTAAAAAAAAAAAAAAAAAAAAACTTGAGCCATCATTTGCTGCCATCCAGGGTATACATTAGCAGGAAGTTGAAATTGAGAATGGAGCTGGGACTTAAGTTTCCATGCTAAATTCTACCCCTACTTTTAAATTTTTGAGGAAACTCTATACTGTTTTCCATAATGGCTGTTCTAATTTACATTCTACTAACAGTGGCTAAGTGTTCCCTTTCTTTGCAACTTTACCAGAATTTATTTCTTGTCATTTTAGTTACAGCTATTTTATTTTTTAAATTGTTATTTAATGAATATAAATTTCCAAAGTACAGTTTATGGATTACAATGGCTTGTCCCCCCCATAACTTCCATCCCACCTGCAACCCTCCCCTCTCCTGCTCCCTCTACCCTTTCATTCACATCAAGATCATTTTCAATTCTCTTTATATACAGAAGATCAATTTAGCATTTATTAAGTAAAGCTTTCAACAGTTTGCACCACACAGAAACACAAAGTGAAAAATACTGTTTGAGTACTGGTTATAGCATTAAATCACGATGTACACCATATTAAGGACAGAGATCCTACATGAGGAGTAAGTGCACAGTGACTCCTGTTGTTGACTTAACAAATTGACACTCTTGTTTTTGGCATCAGTAATCACCCGAGGCTCTTGTCATGAGTTGCCAAGGCTATGGAGGGCTTTTGAGTTTGCCAACTCTGATCA